GGGCGCTGTCAGAACCACCGCAAGGTAATTTTACGTAGTCCGGTGAAGTTTTGTTGAAATCTGTTGAAAAATGTAGGAAATCCGATCCAATATATAAACGTACACACACACACACAACCTGGGTTTTATAATAAGTATGATGATTGGCAATATAACTTAGGTATAAAAAATGTACAAAAGGCAAAAAACGCTGCTGAAACTAGCCCTTTTGGGGGCTCCAGCCTTGTTGAGGGGGGGGGGTTCCTGCGTAGTACGAACTGCACCGACCATGCAGATGTACGACGTATATTGCTAGTTGATGACTGGCAATGTAGCGTCGGTATAAAAATATTTGTTAAAAATGGCGGATGGCCATCAAACAGTGCTGAAAAGGGATCTTGTTAAAATGCGCCTGCCCTAGAAATATGCATAATTCTAGGTCTATTTTTCTGTCCAATGGCGGCGTTTCAATTATGAACTTCTTGTCTCGTTTTGAACTAGAAATGTTTGGTAAATCTCAAGGCATCACGCCAAGAGATTATTCTTTGAAGTTACTGCTTCTAATGAAGAATATCAGACGAACTTCAAATATACGACAGGGTTGGTTACAACTAAAATCTGCCTCAAGTGCCTATGAATGCTGTTAAGATTTACGACTCGTCAAGACAAAACAAAAAAGAGTTTTATGTAAACAAATATATGTTTCTTGTGATTTCTTAGATTTTACACGTACACATTGTACTGATAGCGACAAGAAATTCTCACGAGAATATATGTTAGCTCATTTTTATCTGACATAGTTAAATGGAGTAGTTTTCATTCCAGATGCCGGGTTGATAACATTCGATATTATACATCAGATAGGTTCTACTTTCTAACGAGGTTAAACAATGTAGATTTTTTGTATTGTGAGATTCGGAGTGATGAAGAAAGAAGACATTTCTCGGAAAAAAAGGGATGATGAAAAGCAGACATAAACGATTATTCTACGTGGTGTGGTTTCCCAAATGTTTTAGAAAACTATAGCTAGTATGAACAACGCAAGTATACCATGGGTAGATCTATAAATGCACATACACACATCTCTCTCCCTCTTTTCTCTCTCTATACAAACATATATATATATATATATATATATATAGAGAGAGAGAGAGAGAGAGAGAGGGGGGAATGGAAAGTGAGGGATCAAAAGAAAAATTAAGAAGGGGCGTTTTTAAGGGCGGCGAATGGTGGTTAGTTTGTTCTTGGCTGTGTGGATGTGGGTGTGTCCTTTCGAAAAACTCAGTTGAAAACTTTCTTTTTAATTCGTTTTTCACCTTGGTGTCACACCCTCCTGTCTAACGTGTACCGAATTTCTTGGTCTATTGACAGAAAATAACAAGCTGTATTTTATTACAAGTTCACTTTGTTGTCACATGTACACGTGCGTCTAGATAAGCATCGGTCATATTGCTAAGTTTACTGGTGATAACAGCGATCACTGAGTGTCCATAACTTCAAAACGAACAATCACATCACCACTCCAACGAGCGAGATGCGTGTACTTTGTTTCAGAAAATAAAAGCTCCTTTATTCTCATTATAGTTATTTATTTTTGAAGACTGAATCAAAGTTTCAATTCACTTGATTGGTTGACCGAACGCTAGTACAATAAGTTGTTACGGTTATCGTTTTTAGTTGTTTTTTTTTTTTTTTTTTTTTTTGGTAACTGGTCTTTGCTTTGTCACGATGGCTTCATGTAAAGGGCAGGAGAGGTTAAAAGAATGTAGGTTATATTTCTGTCAGGCAGAACTTCTCTATCAAGGCCAATAGACAATAAATTCACTGTTCAAGAAAATACAAAGCAGGACATAGGAACTCAACTATGTGTATCCACGAAAAATAATTTTTATAGCAGAATAAAAAAATAATGTTTATATTTTAAAATTACGTTAATTTTTAGGGCTTTTTTATCACTGTCCACTGGCTTTACCAGTACTCCTTCAATTTCACTCTAAGCTTTACTCTTTTTCTGCACTAACAAAATCAATATTACCGACCATCTGGAAAAAATTCGGATTAAACACCTGTAACCGAAAGCGTTCGTGTAATGGGCAGCGGTTCGGATTTGAAAATCGAAAAGCCGAGTTCAAATTCCTGTGTAGTTCTTTACATTCACTTCCGGGAAAATATTCTTGGGAAAAGTACGAATACATCTCTTCTCCACCCTTTGCTACAGGTAAATAGCAAGGCGAACTGGGCTCTATAGCCTTGACTGGCAATCTGACTATGATAAGAAAAACTCTGAGCCTGGAGAAGGTTGGACTCAGTCAGATTATCTTACCTATGACATACAACTGCCGCTAAGACTGCAGTATATATCGTAACCATATGGCCTTAATGGATTACGACACTCGGAATTGGGGGTCAGAGAACAGAAAGCTAATTACCAATAGTAATAGACAAATTTCTTTCATTTCTACAATGTGGTTGGCAGGAATAATAGAATCTATTATCTAGTCAATTCTTTTCTAATTCTCTTCGTTCATTTTCTCTTCCTCCTGCTGCTAGTTTCATCATTTGATTGAATGTCTGAAAATAAGTGAATTCAATACGCGGAGGATATTAATGTATTTATATACAGGACAAAATAGTTCAGAAAATGGAAAGAAAAAACTTTTATGTGATTAGCTTTAGTGTGTATGTATGTGTGTGTGTGTATGTGTGTGAGAGAGAATGAGAGAAAAAGAGAGAGTTAAAAATCGACAGAATGCGTCTATCAGAGAGAGAGAGAGAGAGAGAGAGAGAGAGTGAGTATGAGTATTTGTATTATGCGCAAGGTGGTTTGGTTGAAATTAAGAAGTTGGTTTGCACGGAGAGTATATATTATTCAATATTAGAGGATCTCGTTTCTATTATTAAATAATAAGTTAACGCCATATATTAATCTATATCAATATAGTAAGTAGAGAACACTATATCTAATTAAAAGCAAGATATTTATTAACTCACATATGTGAACCTTGTAATAAAGGACTAAATAGAATGCTATTTTTATGGCATGATTAAACAAGATATTTCGAAAATTTGTAAATTCTCCATTTTACCCAAGACTGAACTTAAAATTGTACGAAACAGAGCCTTTTCAATAATATAGTTTACGATGGTCGGTCTTCAAGTGTTACGAATTTTCGAACTCAAAAATGATTAATCTATAGTTTGTACTTCCGATTTTATTACAAATTGGAGATGCCAAAATCAAGCAAGTACACAAAGGTAAATATCTAGGAAGGGTTTTTAACAGAGAATGGAAAATGAGACATCGAACTCCAATGGAGCATTGGAATAACGAAAGACGTCTTCCAAAAAGCTAAGTAAAGTATTCAAGAAAATCACATTAGAAACAAAGAAAAGAGTACTGAACTGTTATGCAACATCGGTCCTTCTATATGGTAGTGCATCACAGATGAACGAAAGACATGAGGCAAAAGATTTAAAGATTTAAAGAAATACTAGACCACCTGTGACCCGTTGGGCCAACCTTTTTTGTGTTTACTGTTTACATTTAGTTTCATGAAGAGTCTTTGAAAGTAGAGATGTTTTTAAAATACATTTATTTGCAGTTATGAAAGTTGCTTTCAACATTAAAAGATTGTCTGTTTGAAAAAAGTTGAACAATAAGAGCTTCTGGGTGTTGGGATTCGATACAGTAACATAAAATATTGTTGTGGGGTTGCGTGTAATTCGGCCATTCAGAATAATCAAACGATTTTCATTGAAAGAATCAAATTCAATAGAAAAGACAGCGTCGTTTCAACAAATGAACATTAATTTAATATAACGAGAATACAAACAATTGGTTATAAATTGGAAAATGATATCTTTTTGTTTGGGTTAATAAAATTCTGAAATAAAATATAAATTCTCTTTGTGTACGTATGTGAGAAACAGCGAAATGTTGTTATATGTGTGTTTGTGTGAAAAAGTCAACACGTGTGTACGTCGTTCATAGTAAAGAGGATACAATAGATAGAATTTGTTTCTTACTGTGGACGGTGCTGCTGCAATCTTAAACGGTCTCTTTGAAGTTTGTCAGCTCTGTCGCTTTTAGCATGAGATCGTGAAGTTCACCATCGAGAGTGGCGTGGACCTTGATGACAGCTGTGCGTATCCTGTTTGGGCTGCATTTCGTATGTTTTATACACTTTCTCGTAAGAAAATCGGCTCCATCCCCCACTTCCTACACGATAATAAATTTACATCTTTCGTTTCACAACTCTCTATGTATGACTTGTTTATTTATTTCTTTTCTCCACTCTCTATATATGGCTTCTGGCAAAAACACAAGATACAAAGTTCACAGAGTTTTATATAGTAATAGGATGCTGACAATACCATGGACTAAACGTGTGACGAAGTTTGAGAGAAAATAGAAACAAAAAAGACACTTATACTTAACATCAGAAAGAGACAATTGAAATTTTTAGGACACAATGAGGAAAGAGGGCTTAGGAAATTTAACACTGACAAGATGGTCAGATGAATGTAGCCTATAACCTACCTAATGAGTTTGTGTAAATGGTTAACTTTCTGCTTTATATTTCTGTTCCATGACACATTCGCCGATCGACAATGATGATAATCCTAAATAATATAGCCAGGCAATCCGAGAATCTGAGCAATAAGGAACAGAAAATTGTGGAGAGCCATGAAGGCCAACGTCCTAAAGCGACACGGCGACATAGACGAAGAATCCGAGAATCTGTTGCTAATTGCCACAAATGATCCCTGGCGAATAGATTTCGGCGCTTATATTTCACAAGGTTTTTTTTTTGTTTTTTGGTTTTTGGCCCACTTTACCATTTTAATGCGTCGTCTGCTGTCAACAATTTCCTGTTCAATTGACCCTAAGAAATGTGTTGACGCTAAACAGTAACCCCATCCACACCCAATGGGGTTTTGGTCAGTGCAGTTGGTAGAACGACCGAAAAGAGTACCTTTTTTTTTTTCCTATACTTAAAAAATTTAAGGAGAAAAAGTTGTTAAAACAAATATGTCGTGAATAATTCCGGAACAGTAAAGTGACCGATTGTCACACACAACCTATTAAAGAAAGAAAGAAAGAAAGAAAGAAAGAAAGAAAGAAAGAAAGAAAGAAAGAATAATACCATAAGAAAAGAAAGATATTTCTTGTTAGAAAGATGTACAGTACTGCAAACTAAGGAAGAAAGAAAATAAGGAAGAAAGAAAATAAGAAAGAAAGAAGTGGAAATAATAGAAAAAAGAAATAAAGAGAAAATTAAAAAAAAGAAAGAAGCAAAAATAAAAGAAAGGAAGAAACGCCAATACGAACAAAAGTACAAAATAAAGAAAGAAAGAAAGAAAGAAAGAAAGAAAGAAAGAAAGAAAGAGAGAGAAAGCGGAAAAGGAGTTTTTATGATATGGCTATTCAATTAAAATTACTTTCCACTCCGCTGAATGAAAACATTTGAAAACTTGGAAGTATTTTGCAATTTCAATATATCCGGACCTTCAAATTCTGAGTCTCTGCAAACAGATGTTTGTTTGTTTCTTGTAAGCAAGTGCATTCATGTAAACAATGGTCGCAACAAATTTTCTCATTTGGGTCCATTTCTTCCTCTTTGAAATTCGAGTTATTTATTTATTTATTTTTCTATGCGTGAATGGTTTCTATGCGTGAATGTTTAGTGCTCGGGAAGTTGTAAAACTTTTAGGGGCAAATAACGCTAAGTGCCTGCCACAGCTGCAAGCAAACAAAGTCATAAATAAATCAGTAACATATACGAGAGGACCCACAAAAATCGGTATGAGTCTCGGATGCGGACGATTTTACAAGTACACGAATGTATTGGTAGCTGAAATTGATCGATTTAATGGGAAAATGTGTTTAAAATTCGTTTTTGGAACATGGTTTTAGGTTTTAAATACAAAATTTATTGTTTTTATCACTATGTTTTCTCAGGTGTGCATTTGAATGGAGGAGAATGCAGAAAGTTTACCTTAAACACAAAAGCAATAAAGATATTAATCCAGAAAAAATAATTTCAGTCCATAATTATAGAAACATCTTATTTTACAAACATGAAAAATGATGGAAGAAAATAATTTACAGAGCAAGATAGAAAGGCAGATATGATCAGACAACATTATATATATATATATATATATATATATATATATATATAAATATATATATTAGGTTCGTCCAAAGATTCGTTAAAAAAGAGCATACCATTATGAAAAAAGGCCACAAACTTGATAAAAAAATAATTTTTATCATCAAAATGAGTATTTTTATTAAATTTTGGTTCCTTTCTAGCACGTTCAAAATTTTGGTTAAAAATTTTGTTTTTCTTCATCAGTGAGTGGGTCAAAGATTAGTATGAGAAATTTACTGTCTTTTTTGTGGCTAAAATTATTGTTTTGGAAATTCTTGCAAAGATCAAATAATTGTTAGATTTTAATGAAATTTTCAGGACTGAAATTACTTTGTAAATTATATATATATATATATATATATATATATATATATATATATATATATATTAGAAAATCTTGGTAAAAGTATTTTTTTTACATCTGTTACCTGCACTTACTTATTTTTTTTTTGAAATTTTGCGAAATTAAAATCCCAGGCTTTTTCATATTTATATTATTTAAAAGCAGAAATCCTTGGAGAATTTAAATCATAAATTGATTTTTGTCAAACAGGCACATCATTTACGGAAAATCTGCTCTGAATCGTAAAATGAAAAATGCAATAAAACTATGACATTATTTAATTAGAAAACTTTTAATTGCTTTTATGAATAAGATATGTTAAGGAAACTATTGTTTTAAGAAATAATTTTGTCATCAGAAATCATTTTTTCGATGAATGATGAATTTTACAAAAAAATTGTATACATTTTTTAAATTTTATTTAGAATAATTTATGAAGTTTAAAAATCTTTTAAAATTCAGTATTAATTTCATCCTTTAAGATATATTATCTTAAAGTAAAAACTATTCGTACTAATCATAAATGGAAAAGCTTAATACAAATCGTCAAATACTAATATTTTAAAAAGAATTTTGAATTTTTTTTGTATGTGTATAAACATGCCAATTTTTGTAAATAAACACCACCGTACACGACTTTTTCAGTAAATTTAAATCTAAAATTCTATAAGAGATTACAGGGAATATTTTCTTAATTTTTAAGATTACTGAGTACCTAAAAAAATGAGTACTCACGTTAATTCAATTATTTTTTTTTTTGCCCTTAAAGCCCTCATAGATAAATATCAATGTCATCAAGCTGTCAAACACGTCAACATGTTAGAAACGGCATTTCTTTAAAAAAAACATGCATTTCTGTGATTTGAAAAAATGCATTTCTGTGATATTTTAAACTTAAAGTAAAAATATTTGTTTCAAATCAGGTTAATTATACTTTAAATCAGCTGATATTCCTCAAATAAAGTCTTAGAAAAGTATATTTTATTTTTCAAAGATTTTTAGTAAAGAGGATTACATGGTGATGAAAGACGGTTAAAAAAGAATGCTAATCAGATATTTTAGCAAAAAAAAACTTCAGTCTATTTAAATTAATATTTCAAGTACAACAAAGTATTTCGCCTATTTGAAATATTAAATTTAATCTATTAGCTTGAAATTAAAGCTAACTAAAGTAAAAGCTTCAAGAAAGATCTTTCATTTTTAAAAATTTATTTTAAACGTTAGGTATAGCGTTTTCTGTAGTGATACCTAATATATATATATATATATATATATATATATATATATATACGGGGTGCGATGGGTACATTTTCGCCATTTTATATTTTTAATTTTGTGCGTGCTCGTTGTTTGTTTTTGATTTTGTTGACTGCACAAGAAGAAGAAGAAGAAGAAGAAGAAGAAGAAGAAGAAAAAGTGTTCATGAATCAACAGCCTACTTTTTTTTGTCTACCAACTGGACGCTAGTTGGCTCCTGGACTCGCTGATACTATGGATGCTCCACAGTCCCTTTTTACTTCCGGCATTTTCTGGCATGCGCAATTCACCAGTCTATTGGCTAACTCTCTGTGATCAGCTACTCATCCTGATGACTTCTATTCTTTACCGTAACTTCTGTTATTTCCTACGACCAGATATTCATTCTGACTTCAATCGTCTTTGGTCAAATCAGAAGCTTTTTCGACAGCAGTCGTTTAGTTCCAGTGAGCATCATGCCTCGCCGTTCATTGGTTAATTCCTGCGGCCGACATTGTCCATCCTGATGACTACTCTTCTTTGTCGTAGCTTCTATTAATTCCTGCAACAAGATATTTGTAGTGGACCTCCTGGAAGGAGTGGGGCGGTATAAAATGGCATGTGCGCCCAAATAAATATGGTCACAGGAGGCCCGCTAACGTTTATAAATTAAAGGCGTGACAGGTGGGACAAAAATGGACAACAGAACGACAAACTTAAAATTTAATGCAAAATTTATTTAGAATATAGACCAGAGTCCTTGTACATTAAATTAGCATATAAGTCCACAGTTCGAAAGTTAACTTCACATGTCTGGTGAGAGTTTTGAAAAGTTGCTGGTTAAGTCCAATGATGAACCTTCCGTATTATTTTAACCGAAGTGTACAGAATAGGTTATTTTAAGTCTGGACGATATAGCCAAAGAGAAGAAAGTTCAGTTTAATGTCCAGTGCTGGCGATGCGTAGTTGCTGGTCAAATCCAGTGTCCAGTTTTGGCATTGCGTGGCTGCTGGTCAAATCCAATGGTGAATCTTCCGTTGTATTTTAACCGAAGTTTACGAATGGTTATTCGAGTCTGGGATGATATGCAATCTGGTTTTCCCCCTAGAACTGAGGCTCTACTGAGTGAGATGTACATAACCCCAACGATGGTATTGGACATCATCTCTAAATTAGATTCCCATGAGGCTAGTGGTGGGGACCGGATACCGGCCATTGTCCTGAAGAAATGTGCTCCTGAATTGGCTCCTGTCCTCTCGAAACTTTACAACTCTTGCTTTCCAGCCTGTTGGAAGTCGTCATCTCTTGTACCTGTCTTTAAGAACTCTGGTGACCCTTCTAACTACCGTCCTATCAGTCTCCTACCGCTCTTCGGTAAAGTCTTCGAGGCTTTAATAAACGTCGGCGTGGTTAAGCACCTTACTTCACATAGTCTGCTCTCCGACAAGAAATATGAGTTCCGCTTTGCCCAATCTACCGCTGATGTGCTCACGACGATAACTGAATTTGAAGCCGTGGCTCTGGACATCTCTAAAGCGTTTGATAGAGTTTGATATGCTGGCCTTCATCGTAAGCTTCAGGGATATGGTATTACAGGACGATTATTTGACTTAATACAATAATTCCTGTCAAACCGTGAAATGAAGGTCGTCCTAAACAGGTTCTCCTCCGGCCCCTTTATCACGAACGCTCGTGTTCCCCAAGGCTCTATCTTTGGCCCTACACTGTTCCTGATCTTCATCAATGATCTTCCTGATGTCATCAGTTCCCAGGTTGACATATACGCGCACATGACACTACTATTTACTCCTGCCTCAATAGTAAATCTGGTATCGTTCCCTGGCTGCTGATCTCGAAAAGCCTCTCCAAACTGTGGTTGACTGGGGCAGGTAATGGCTTGTAAACTTTAATGCCTCCAAAACGAAACTGCTCTCCTTTACCCACTACAGTGAACCTTCCTTGCCTCCTCGAGAGCGTTTCGTTACGCCTGCTCCCATCATACTTAACCGTTCATTGGTTAAATCCTGCGGCGAACAAATTTATCATGACGTCCACTATTTTCTGCCGTAAATTTAGTTAATTCATACGGTCAGTTATTCATCCTGACATCTATCGTCTTGGATCGAACCGAAAGCTTATGCAACGGTCTGTTATGTCGCCCCAGTGGCTATCATATCTCGCCGTTCATTGGTTTATACTTGCGGCCAAGATATCCATTCTGATGTCCACCATCTTCTGTAGTAATTCCACATAATTCTTGCGACCAGTTGTTTTTCTTCTGACATCATTCATCTGTGGTCGATCCAGAAGTTTGTACGACGGCCAGCCATTTCGCCTCAACGTCTAGTATATCTTGCTGTTCTTCGCTTGAATTTTCCGACCAATTACTCGTCCAGTCATTAGCCCAGCTTATCTCTACGGAATCATCGTGTTCTAATTCCTGCCAAGATTTATTCAGCGGTGATTAAGGCAAATTCTGCCTTTTTGTTTAGACGACCAGCAACCATCACTCCTCAGACGAATTTCGACGAAAGTTTTTACTTTGAGAACATTGTTTATTTACAGTCAGCCTCTTTAAGAAAACTAATCTGACTGAAATAACCATTTTGATTTTTTTTTTCGTCGAATAGGGGCCATATTTTCCAAGTTCAACTTTTCCGATCAGTATCCTATGTTTTCCTTACATC